ACCTGGCCCTACCCATGCCCCGTCATTTATTATTGCGACCCCCCCCCTTCCGTAAGCCCGGATCGCAAAACAAGTTCTGGGGGGGGGGGCTTATTAATGTCATGCTAACATTAATTTGAGTTCCTGAACAGCAACCCAGTTTGAGGAAACCTCGGTGTAAGCAGCAGCCTTTCCTCTGTCAATATCAAATCTGCAGATCCGTGCTGTCCTTTCACGAGGAGCCCTCGCGCAGGTGTCACGTGGATCTTAGGGTTTAGGGTTTACGGTCTAGGGTTTAGGGTTTGGGCAAGAGTCCACAAGCAGAAGCTACTAATTCACAGTACCGCAATGTATCATGGTGATTAGGGTTCCGTATATTTCTACTATACCAATATTGCTGGGGACAACCCTTAACCCTAAGCCCTAAAGTCTAACGTGAGAGCATATTCCCACAACTTGCGTCTTCTTTCAGATCATTGCGCCCCAGCTTAGCGCAAGGACGGCTAGCTTCTCTTTGCTGGATTTAGGGTTGAGTGTTGCCCACAATGTAAAGTTACCATATGGAGAATAGGATGGAAAGCAAGTGTAGTTGAAATGGAAGTTGGGTTATACAGGGATTCCACCAGCTTAAGTAAAGTTGCCATAATTCATATATCTGGTAGATATTTGGGCTTCTTACAATAGTTCCTTTGCAATACCCCAGCTTAACTTGCAAGATTGTCTTGCAACTCCTTTGATAAGCCACTTGTGCAACACACCCTCACCCTTTTCCAACGAATGCACCATCGTATGCTCTGCTGTTTTGCAGTAAACCCTAAACACTAAACCCGAAACCCTCAGATATTATTGATTATGTTGGTTTGTGGGCTGCTTCCTAGCAGGCGCAAAGCACGGTATAAGAGGGTTTAAGGTTTAGGGTTTATATCTTCTTGCTGCCAGCATAGTTGCTATGGCTGCAAGAGTGGGTTCAAAGTATTCTAAGATCAGTTACTCAAACAGCAGAAGCCTAACCCTGTATATAGGAGTCCAAAATAGGCTAAGCCCAACCCTAAACCCTAGACACGACCCTAAGCCCTTAACCCGTACTTCAACAGCAATCATTGCCGCTAATCATTTCTGAGTTCTAAAAAGCAACTCTAAAAAAGTCTTAGCCTGCGGAAGATTCTCAAGTTACCCTTATAGGGTTTTGGTTTTAGGTTACCTGTCTAGAAATCCTTATGAGCCCTAAACCTTGAATCTTCAAGGTTGAACTCGCCATCGCCTCATACAAAATCCCCAGGGTAGGGCGGTGGTCAAAAATTATGTCCTGATTGGGGTGCGCCAAATTTTCGAGGCCGTTTTGTAGCGGGGACCCCAAAAGGGGACCATAGTTTTGATAGCCTGCCATTTGGGAATATATATATATATATAAAAGGGATCATATAGGATTCAATAGGAATTGGGATTTAGGGTTTCAGGAATGATAGGGCTTAGGATTTAGGAGTTCAAGTTCCTGTTAAATTTTCACAAAAAGTTGGCAGGCACACTGCGGCCGTCGCAGTAGCTGGCCAGCTGCGCGCCGCACGGGCTTCATGACTGTCGACTGAAGCTTGAAAATGGAACCCTAGACCCCAAATGACCTATGGTCAGCATTAGGCTTCCCAAGGGAACATTAAGGCTGGACATAGGGTCCCTTTCATAGCTTAGTTTAAGGAAGTCCTTATCCTATTCCCTAATGAGGACCCAGGTCCTTGAATTGCATGGGCAATACTAATTAATCCTGAAAGTCGCCCACAGAATCCCGATTTCCATGTCACTGTCCATGTTCTTTTCCGTCTGATTTCGCACTATTTATTTTAAAGCGACCTCACCCGACCTCACCCAAAATGGTGGTTTGTATAAGGAGTCGTACCAACATGGCCTTAAACTGGGATTGAATGAAACTATTCTAGATTACCCTGACTCAAAATTGGGGAATGTTGACTGTAGCTCAAAGGGGCATATGAAGACAAAGGCACAAATTCTCGAAGCAACTCTGTAGTTTCGGTAGCGGCAGGATCAACGCTAGCTGCAGAGTTTCAACTCGCGTGCATAATCCGCCTCCCGGAATAGAGGAAACTATGGTTGCAGGGTTGGCGCTGGTAATCTGAAGGGGAGGGGATTGGTTCTGACAGGTCTCCGGAAGCAGCGTAGAAAGTCGCATCCGACAGTCGACAGGGTTTTTCAAAAGCCTTTGCCACGCAGGTAATCCCACATGCAGAGATTGCCATTGACTCGATCGACCTCACGGCTACTGCCCAAGCTGAGAGCTTCTCAACACTAATCACCTCCTCTTATAATATTCCCCATCTCGACTCTAAAGAAGAATTTTCCCCCTATTGTAGATACTGGCAAGATGTTGGGAATATGTGTCATTAGGAGGTTGGGCGGATTACTACTTACTGGCTTTTAACAGGGAATCCGGGATTACAATCCCTGTATAATAATATCTTCCCCTATTCCCTACTAAAAGCCTACACCCTAAATTCCCTCATTCCCTACTAAGGTCCAGTGAGACTCAGGGCAAGGGATGGCCCCTCTTTCCAATCCTTCAGCGGGGCCTTGGGGGGATCCTGGGGGCCGCCATTGAGCTGCGTGAGTTATAGTCTAACTCATATGGGGGTTGTTCTAAAGGTCCTTGAAAAGAAGGGACCATTGGGAATACACTTCCTTAAAAGGGGATCCTAACCAAACAGGGAACCTACATCATGGCCATTTTGGGGACATGTATTTTGAACAACTACCATATCCTACACGTAGCCTGAGGGATTCTATGGAGGAACAGCTGTGTTAGAGGCACCCTGTTTGTAACCCTAAACTTTATGGTTGTTGTAGGGAATAGAGATATCCCTATAGTAGCCTCTGCAGGAACCAAAATGGCAAATATAGTGGTTTCCATTTCCTTGTGTAGTCCTTTATTCCCTAACCCCTTAACTGTAAACCCTAAAGCCTACAACCTAAGTAATAGTTTCCATATTCTCTTGTACTTTTTCATAACCCTAAACCCCTATTTGGTACCTGTATAGCGCCGTAATGTATCCTTAAACCCTCAACCCCTACCCAAGTCCTGGTGGACTCAGCAGCCCCGAAACCTAAGCCCTAAACCCTAAGCACCTACACCCTAAACCCCCATACCTTAGACCCTGAACCCTACAACCTACACCCTAAACTCTTAGACGGATCCTAGGGTCTTCTTGTTTTGAGGTAGATGATGAATGGCTGGACCGCTTGGCCGGTTGCCCAGCACAGAGAGTCGTTTAGGGTTTTATGCAAAAAGGGTTTAGGGGTTTAGGGTTTAGGGGTTTAGGGGTTTAGGGTCTAGGGGCCAAGTTAAGGAACAAACCCTAGGGCTCCACTTACCTAAACCATGGGTTCTGCATTCTATATACCTTATGGTTGCATAGCCCAATAGCCTACTTTTTTAAGGTAGGAAGGAGCCCTAGGGAAACATTGAATCAGGTGTTTTACGGGGGGTTTGGTGTGTTTGAGGGTTTGGGAGGAAGGATTTAGGGTTCTCAGGGAGCCCAGGACCGATTAATCGAATTCAGAGACGGCTCCCCAGCCTGATGTGGGGCATATTCACCAAACCCGAAACCGATCAGTAGATTGCTAAGCCCCTAAACCCCTAAACCCTAAACCCCCAAACCTTAAACCCTAAAACCTCAACCCTAAACCGATTACTGAAGGAATTGAGGAGATCGGTGCTCCTGTGGATGAGAATGCTTTGTAGATCCTGCATTATCTCCCGCAACCAGCACGGAACCCCCTGCAAAGGCTCCGTAAAGACTTGTCCTCTCCCCCCTAATTAATATGAAGCCCCCACCCCCCCTAATATAAGATATCCCCAATATACTATACCACATAATGTGAACATTTGATATTAGGGGTATCCTTTAAAAGGGACGCTATGGGCTCCATACCAGTTTTGTAAAGCCACTCCCTGAACGGGGGGGACCTTGCATGATATTTTCCAAGCAGGCACTACAGCCCCCAATGATTGCAAAGTACTTGGCGAAAATACTTGGTACAGCCGCCAACTCCAAGGGTCCACGTAGGAACATGCTATATACTTAGGGCCCAAGGGTTTCCTATACCTACTCCAGGAACCAAGTATATTATAGCTAGATGAACCCTTTGGTCAAAAAAGACACCGCTGCCATGTGCCGTCAGGGGGACTTTGTAAGTAGGTTGATAATCTATATATCTGGGGTTACTACATAGGTTATAGGGGTCAAAAGTATACTTACTACGTCCCCTGACCCCCAAGTAAGCCCATTTTGGGACATCCACGGCCGGCTGCGCCAAGCAGACTACTTGAAAGGCCTTAAGCTTGGGAACTTGATCAGTATATACATATATATATATACCCCCGTAAGTTATGATAAACACCCAAACTCACGTTCTATCTACTGTAGCCGGAG